AAACGAGACAAAGAAGAGGACAAAATAGCTATTTATAAATTTTGTTTGCAAAAATCATGCGAATTACGATGTAATCCACATATAGTAGCGCGATAATAACTATATATAAATAATTTTACAGTTTATAAATTAATAAAGCATATTGTCATTGATGTAAACTTATCGATAAAAACGATCGAGTTTAAGTTAATTCATAATGAAATTCAAACGGTTTTTAATAAAGCCTTGGTAATGAAAAATCAGTAATCATCGTTTTTGTTTGAAGGTGATTATAAAGGCAACATGCCTTATCACGAAGGCTTGCGAAGGCAGATAACTGATACGAGCGGTTGATATGCGAGAATATAGTACACAAGGATATTCAATTCAATATGAATAAACAAAGGGCTTGAGCTCGTGTTATCAGGAGGTTTTAAACTGATGTTACATAGTATTATTGGATTGCCGGATGAGATCAAGAGTCAGGAGAAATATAATACAATAAAGATATGACATAATAAATAAAGATTAATATAATAAATATAATAAAGATTATTTTAATAATTTAATAAATGTCAATGTATTAACTTCTTCATTTAAATTATAGATTTTTTTTATTTGAATGCAACGTTGACAATATTAGTTTAGGAAAACATATTTCTAGTTAACCCGCTTAGATGATCTATAATTTGCATCAAAATTGAAGGTAAAACACTATTTATAACTATATATACTATTTTATATGTCAGATGTTTCGATATATTGTACACATTTGTATATATGAGTTTTGTTATATATTTTGTGATATGTTATAATATACTTATTTTCATTCTTTACGTCACGTGAAACGGCTTTAAAAATTCAGGATAAAATTCTATTTGTAATTTTATAAAATGGAGTAGACTAAAAATTTAAAAAATTTGAATGTTCATATATAAAATATTAGTTGAAATATGTATGTCGTGAATATATAAAAGTATATACGATATAAAAATTCAAATAGAATTTTATACTGAAATCCGATGTGAATTATAGATTGCGTAAAATGGGTTTTATAATAAAATATAAATAATTATAATTTAAAATCAGATTTACATCGGAATTTGTACAAAAAATACAGCGTGAGAAATTCGAAATTATTAAATAATTTTAAAAGACTTCTGTTTGTCAAAGAAAATTTCTTGATGTTCATAAAAAAACAATTAAAAATGTAATTCTTAGGTTTTTCTTCTTTTTTCTACAAAGATAAGGCATTGTTTTAGTTTTTCAAAAATCCCAATATTATTTCTAAAATATCAAATTATCTGTCGAGATTTTATTCATAGTTCATCCTACGTTCACGTGTTTCTAATAAAGAAGTCTAATATGATGACACTATGTATATCAGTTTAGCCTCGTAAAATATATTTCACTCTAACCGCACGTGATGATGACCGATATGAAAATTATATAATCGTCATCTATGCACAATTTATCAATGTTATTTAATATTGTCTTGTGACGTACATATTTCAACACTATATTAAAAAAAAACAGATTACATGTTTCATTTTTCCTATTTCTGTATTTTTAATTTTTTCTATAATTTTGATTATCTCTTTGTCACCTATTGCGCTTATATAAATAATCAAGTTATATGACTGCAGACAAAATTAATCTTTATTTATGATTATTATAATATTTACATGAAATAGTTTGTTTACACATAATATGATAGAAAGTAAAATTAGTTACGCGAAAAAAAGTTAATATTGGTTAAAAGTATAAAAAATTAAAGGTAATTATTATGCACTATATATATATATATATATATATATATATATATATATATGTAAAATATATATCTTGAACGCGCAAATTCTAATAATAAATTAATTGCAATTGACTAATTATTTAACATTGAATTATTAAACATTTATTATTATAAGTAATTATGATATTTTGATATTTATATTTTCTGTGTTAGAATTTTTGATTTTGATTATTTATATTTAATAATTTATTTAATAGTATGGCCGCATTTATAAAATATTACCATTAATATCGTATTACAATAATACAGAAGTCGTAAATGATTTTATTATTTAACATATACAAGATTGATGAAAATGTGACGTATGTTTATTACAAGTTTATTAGGAGTATACGTACACAAAAAGATATATATTTTTTTAGAAATAATATATTATTTTTATATAACAGAAATTTATAGAAAATTAGATAACTATTTTGATTTAATTAAACTTATTTTTATTATTTATTTTATAATAGCTAAATTTAATTATTTATTAATGATATAATTTTTCTTATCATTTATTATTTTCACGTTACGTTTGGTATCAATAAACTGACGTCAGTATGGCTCTTGTTTTACTTTTGAGTGTGAACATATTGCGGTTATTATACCACTTGTATGATTGTTACTTTTGTAATGAATACATTATGATGGAATTTTTTGTGTAAGCAGAATATGATAAAGTTATTACGAAGCATTTGAATCAGTTTTAATGATAAATCGCACACAATCTTTTTATGGTGTGAAATATATTTTTTCGTATATTATCAAATTTCTATAGTTTCGGTTATTGTTTATAATTGATTTTCTTTAATAATAATATATAGTTTAATTAATTTATTATTTAATTATACTTATTGTTTTATTATACGTATTTTTAAATATATAAAATAAATAAGTATAATGTATTACTATTAAATTAAAAATTACTTATATAGATTATGTTATACATAATATATTTGTTTACAATTTATATAACAATTAAAAACAATCTTCGAGGATATGTTATATTAGCTTTTTTCCATGTTTTGTAAATATTCTTGTGTTTTGAGGAATTAAATCTTGAAGTTTATCCAATTTTGTAACATATTGTCTTTATTATAATTTTTATTGACTGTTGGATCATAAGCAAACTTTGTTATACATAAGTTTGTGAAATGTAAGAATAATGTTACGATATATTGAAAATAACTAGTGAAATTTAATATTATAATCATTTTAAAAATTTTCCGTGGTAATAACATAGAACTTAGCATAGCATTAATCGTTGTTTGCATCTGCGTTGCATACGTCAAACCAAATGAGTTGCTGTTTTGAATAACTACTTTTCCGGGTATTCATTACAAGTACAATCAGTTTATTCATATTTATTTATTCATCGTGTTTCGAAAAGGTACGCTCGACTTCGTGTACACGTTGCCATTCGAATCAATGAAAAGCCTTCCGTTTCTATTTTAAGTTTTAAGGTTTAAAGATCTTGCCGATTATATCAGTCACCTTGATTCATAAAAAAAAAAAAACAATGAAAATTACGAAAAGTTTTTCGTGTTTAAAAGATTTTTTTTGATGAATTCGTTCGATCGAGTGAAGATAAAAATGTGCGCATTGGACCTTAAATGATTTCCTGAAGTAGAGAAAATAAGATTACCGCAAAAAACGGGTATTGTATACTGGTGTGTGTGTGTCGTATTTTAAACGGAATATTCATTGGCCGTCTACCAAGCGTCAAGCCACGAGAATTCTGCGAGTTGCGTCATTAACACGTGACATTCGTTATTGAATCGTTTCGTCGCACAACTGAATCACATTGAAAGTTTCTTCGAAATTTCACGTCTTAATGAATTCAGATACATGAAATAAAATTTCACATACGGATGATATGCTATCAGTATTTTTTTTTTTTTCCGAAAATATAAAACTTTTTAAAATATATAAATGCTAATTTCAAAAATATGAGTCACAATAAAACAATTCATCAAAACAGCTATAGTTTGTAGAACTATCTACAAAACTTGTGAAATCATCAAATATCAAAAGCGAATATTACAAACATATTTTGTTTAATTTGTCAGAACTAAGAAAGTATGATACTAGATATTATCTCTAGAGATATTAGAGATATTCGAAGGATAAAAAAAATATAAAATAATGTAATTCGTAACATTTTATTATATAGAATCGTCATAAGTACTTTGAATTGATACTTGTCTTTCGAATTGATGCTCTTTTTTATATTCGAAGGAGAGATTACGTATGAATGTGAAAGCGAAACGTTTCTTATGCTATTTTAATAACAATATTATTTCTTGGCAGTCAGTTCTTTTTAGCTTCACACGAATTCAGTTTGAAATTCATTGTAGTTACTACAGTATTTAATTGATAAAATGTGGAAAGAAATAATGCTCAAATAACATCTAAGTATGTCGAGGTATAATTAAGTGCAAATTAATGTAGGAATTCGTGGAGAAAATTTCATGGTTGAGGTTTCATCAAAAGAATAGAAGATTGCAAAATTGGATAGCGGCAGCCTTCGTGCGAAATCACCGTTATTCATGACAACGAAAGTAAATTGTTGTACTACGTGGCAGATGATCACATTTATTGCTCTTCTTTCTGACTTGTCTTACTTAATCTTGTGAATGGCATTTTTAATTTTGATATTAATTGTATTAATTTTCATTTGTTTCGCATATGACGCGTAAATATGTAATAATTCGATAAAAAAATTAACTTTGCATTTCATCATCTTGTGCGTCTTCTATCTACATATATATATATATATATATATACATATATTTGATATACATATATTTGAGAAGGAAATTTCTCGGTATAAACGAGACATATCGCAAGACGATAACACTGCCTTTTCGCAATGAGATGCGATACGAAAACTAACGTTGTAACGGTTAAGATAAAACGTGTCTATAGCGAAGGCATATGCATACGCATATTAATCGGGTATATAAATGTGAATGTATTTGACTATAAAAATTAGGAGCTGTTTCTATCATGAGATGTTGCATTATCAGCGGTAGTTTGACAGCAGGGGCAAATGGGAAAAACATCGTATTTGTAAATAATAATTGCAGCACACATTTTTATATTTTTAATAATGCGTTAAACGCAACTCAACTGTTATACGTTATTTTTACGAGGATACGAAATACATTCTAATTAATATACAATTTATTTTAATTCTTTTTTATCTTCTTTCTGGTTGCAGTGAACGATGGTCAAACGAGGACGACACCGCAGTATAATGGACTTAGAAATGCCATCTCTCAAATCGTGAAAACTGAGGGTGTGCGTGGACTTTACAGAGGCGTAACGCCGAACGTTTTAGGATCGGGCAGTTCGTGGGGTTTTTATTTCTTTTTGTAAGTACAGTAACGATCGTCGATTGCTCTAGAAAATTGAGTAATTATTAATAAACTAGTGTGGAAAATCGATTTGCATATGTAATAAAAATCTCGATTCGCAATTATCGATTAGCGTTATATGTTGTAGTCTTGTAAAAAATTTAACATTTATTTTGTATGTGCATTTTTCCTGATATTTTTATGCTAATTAAATACGAATTAATTTGCAGCTATAACACGATAAAGACTTCGATTCAAGGTGGCAATTCGAAGAAACCTCTTGGACCGTCCATGCATATGTTCGCTGCTGCTGATGCCGGAGTGCTTACCTTGCTCATGACTAACCCGATCTGGGTGGTAAAGACGCGGCTGTGCTTGCAATATGCTGAGGACGTGAATCTGGCGGAATCCAAGAAGTATCGCGGCATGATTGATGCTTTAAAGAAGATTTATAAGACGGAGGGTATTAGAGGCTTATATAAGGCAAGCATATTTTTCTGTTTAAACTTTAAGTTATAACTTGAAATTGAAATAAAATTAAAGTTATTGTTTTGTTAGTGATTTTATGTGATTACTGAAATTTATCGTATTTTTTATATTTTTGCAGGGTTTAGTTCCTGGGTTGTTTGGTGTTTCACACGGTGCGATACAGTTCATGGCGTATGAAGAGATGAAGAATAAGTACTATAATTACTTGAACGTACCCATCGATACGAAATTGGTAAATTGATTTCGTTTTTATCGAAATTTTTGTAGCTAAAAGAATCAAATTCAAGACGAATCCTAATCGTAAATCGTCATATTAATTTTTATTTTGCAACGTTACTTTCTTTCGTTAATCTATATTCTTTGCACGAAGAGCATAAATAATAATCTATAAACATGACATTTTAAGTTTAAAGTAAATAGAGGAATGTTTATAATTAATATATTTAGAACTAATAAATATGAATAATATTTTTAATTTTTTATTTTTTTAGAGTACGACTGAATACATCGTCTTCGCGGCGATGTCAAAGCTGATTGCTGCAGCATCGACGTATCCTTATCAAGTGGTGAGGGCACGACTTCAAGATCATCATCATGATTATCGGGGTACCTGGCATTGCATCCAATGCACATGGAGGTCAGAAGGGATCAGGGGTTTCTATAAAGGCTTATCACCATACCTTTTACATGTTACACCAAACATATGTTTGATTATCCTTATTTATGAGCATTTTACTAACGGTAGTTAATTTGCGTTAACATCTTATTATTACAAATGTAAAAAAACTTTTTAGGCAATTTTTTTTTTTTTATTTTATTCATTTAGGGCGTAATATCCCCCGACTTACCAAAACTTATGATGAAAGGTGCTCACTTATAATGCGTAAAGTGCATATAATTTTTTGATGTAGATCATGATACCCAATTGTTTTAAGATGAATATCATTATATATCATTGAAATAGGTTACAATGCAGAATAATTCTCGTTTTTCGAGAAAGTTTTTTTTATTATCTATTTTTATCTGAATATTTTTGGAAGATTCGGGAGGGTTAGAGAAATGATTATTAGTAACAATTTTTATTCTATTCCGTAATAGACGTGTAGATAATGTATTAATTTTCTTTTTAGCACTCGTGAAATGAGAGTACATGATGTTTTCTATCATTTGTATTTCTATTAATTTATATTAGGTTTGTAGAAATGTACGGTGATAAAAAAGAATTGACCGACATGGAAAAATAGCTTAAACAATTACTTGTACTGTTGCCGTTTTAATTTTCCACATAAATTGCAATACGATGATTATAAAGAAATAGATCTTGAAATGGCAATATGTTTCATAGTTTGTGGCAGGTATTGTGCGTTGAATGTATACGTCTTATTTATTTATCCATTTATCCTTCAATCCAAGTACACTGAGAGACTGCGATAATATAGAACGGACAAAGTTACTTTATTTCTCGATACGAATACGTTGTTAATTTAATAAATTTATGACGGAATTCGACATGTTTTATGTAAGGATAGTTTTTTGCTGTAACAAAAATGTATTCTAATTGAAAAATATCTTTTCATATTAGATACTTTGCAACTGACGAGTATGAGTATGATCGTCTTTTGTTTGCCGAGCTATATAGATATCTGAGTATCAACTAAACTGGATTTAGTTGAACACACCTAGATAGATATGCTTGGTTACGCGCATGCGGTTATGCGGAAGGAAGTGAGGAATGCATATTTCATACTAAAGTATGAGATAATTAATGCTCTATTCAAATATAAGAGAACTGCAAGAAGAGATGCATCCGGTTTATAACGATGTAATCTTGGATAGTTAATTAATAACCAAATATTTACGTAACTATAAAAATAACACACACGATATACGTATTATGTGTAACGTTTGAACAACTGACGCATAGTATGTGTGAGCCCATATGTAAACTCTGATGATTTCTGTGTCTTCGTTCGACTCGAGTTTCAGTGCGGACTAGACGTCGCTTAATTTAGCGATTTCTTCATTAAGTTATATTTTAGCAAATATAGTAAAAGTTCGCTGCATTCTACCTTGTCCCTCTTTCTTTTTTTGTTTTACGAAGCGACTCTTTCTGTATACCAATACTTTACCTCATTTTAAATGAAATATATAGAGTCCTTTAGATCAATTTTGCAAGGAGTCGTAGAGTCTGGCACTCGGAACGTACGATAAATAGCAATAAGTTTCTTCATCGCAATCTGTAAATAATAGACGAATTTATTTATATCAATTTCTTTAGCCATAAATCTAAAATCTGTTTCTTCGAAGGAAAAAGAGTGGAAACGGAAACGAAGGAGTATATTTAAAGCAACATTGTGACGATATTAATAAACACACGCACACATATCGAAAAGTGTTATTAAATTAATTCGACTATCTCCAGTCACTTATTCAAGCTTTTACCTAGCTTTATCTCTTCATTCTGCAATTCTTTTTATTGATGTCTATTGATTTTATTTTCTTGACAACGCAGAGGACAGAAAGGTGTCATTGTTAATTATGATTTAAAAAAATATACATTTTAGATATATTTTCCATTTTAAAACTCTTATCATTACGGTTGTCTTATTTAAAACAAGTAGCATGTAGAAAGGTATTGTGATTGAATGTGTTATCGAGTTTACGATATGCTTCGATAGTTTATTAAGCCACCAGCAGTACGATTTTTGAATGTATTATACGATGAATCGATGTTGGATATATATTGTAATTAAATTACACGTTATACATATACATATTATAATTAAAGAATGAGATAAAGAGAAATAACATTGGATTTGTGCACGGTTAAGTTTTTTTTAATTTGATTCTATAGTCAGAATTAGAGAGAAACAGAGATATTGCTTCTGTTTCATAAAGTAACGTTAATGTGTTCCTCACATTTTTACAATATTTATATTTAATATTCATATTTTTACAATACATTTTATATAGCGTCAAGAATCGTACGCGGGTTAAATAATGTCTCAAAATTCTTCGCGTTTTTAGTTATAAAATAAAGTAAAACAAAGGCGTATTGCTGGTGGTTCGTTGCAGGTATGAGGGTTGGCATGGCTTTTACAAGGGTTTAAGTGTAAACCTGACCAGAGTGACCCCGGCAACAGTTATCACATTTGTGGTCTACGAAAATATGTTTCATTATCTGCAATCCAGACACACTTCGATGGGAGAAACAATCGCTGTGCCTGCGGTTAACAAACTGAAGGATTAGATAAAATCAAGAGATCTAATGGAGCTTTATTGAAGTAATCTGGACGTGCTTGGAGTTGTACACATTATGTCTCTCTGATGACATACACACCCGAAGGAGTAAATCATAATAAATCAAATTTTTTACTTTAGAAAAATGAAGATACATAAAAAAGCACAATAATTGCAATTTTTTTATTAATGTACTGCAAAGGTTGAAATTAACATAAGAAAGGCTACAAGTATCAGAAATAATGATTTCAAGAAAAACTCATTTTTTCGTTATTTAATCTTTCTTTTAGGATGAACTGGGATAACAAATATTTCTCACTTTGATTTTATTCAATATATTATACATACATATATTAGATATTGAAATGTCATCCATAATCCTTCTGAACGTTGGCCCTTTCATTCTAGTAATTAAATGATAATTGTCTTAAATTCTTTATTGGTTTTCCATTGATATAAGAAGACTTTAGCAGAAAAGCTTTAATAGATTAGCAGATCTTTATAATAATCTATTATATTTTTATCATAAATAAAGTAAAAATAAAATGATTGAAAATTGCGAATGAAGAAGTTTTGAGTGCTGTGTTGATCTGATGGTTATTTTCATTGATTACATTTTTATTTTTCATGAATATAATTTAATTTAAAATTATATTTGTGACAATTTTCAAAAAGTACAAATTACTAATTTATTTAGATTTCATGTTTCTTTTGTGTTTAATTTTAGTTATAGATTTTGTTACAATTTTACAGATAAGATTTATACTTTGCAATTTGTAACATCTGAAACATTTATAATTTGAATTCTTTTGAAATACATAAATAAAAATATATAAATACATAATGAAAATTAAAATAGAAAAAGAATTCCGCATATTATGCTTATTTAAAAATTGTTTTATTGAAAAATAATTTCTTAATAAACTTAATATTACAAAATTTCTTATTTTTAAATCATATCTTTCTTTTCTTCTTTAGATGTCTTTATTCAAGATACAATTAAGTTTTTATTGATGATTTAAAGAAAATTTCATT